CCTCATAGCCTCATCAAAAGAAATTGTCCAACTGTGGAATTTATATTCATCTAATGGGTGAGATGTAAAATCTCTCAGTGTACTTTGAGGTTCTATTTCTAACAGATATTTGTCCTTTCCCTCTGCCACTGCCCATCTTTAATTTCCCTCACCCTCAGCCAGACTTCAGCTGGTCTAACTGCTTGCCAAAGAGATGACCTAGCCTTTGTAGGGATGCAAGGGAAATTTTCCTCACCCCTTAGGTTCTTCTTGGACTGATTTGGCACACAAATTAGCACCAGAAAAATAATTAGTAGAAGAAAAAGGACAAATATAATTACATAAAATATGGAGAATTTACATGACTGTAAATTTTAGAATGGGGCCTCCCCTGGCGGCGCAGCGGTTGAGCGCTGGGCTGTGAGGCTGACCGCAGCCTCTGCAGCGCCGGTTCGTTCTCCGGCCTCCTGCGAGTGTCCCACAAAAAATAAATAAATAAATAAATTTTAGAATAAATAGGATAGACTGCAGGTTTTTATCTTTGAGCTAAGAAATGGGATAGGGGCTGGGGTGTCAAGGACAGAGGGGGAGAACTCACATGATGAAGAGAGTGACTCATAAAAGCCAGATGCTCTATATGTACGTTTGCCTTGTTGTATAGATGGGCTTCTGGAGATGACCCTAAATCTGGGTCATCTCCATTCTTCTAGGTAGTTAAGGGAGTGATAAAAGTTCTTTTGGAGACTGAAGGGCTTTGATTGACCTTAGCTCAAATTTCCAAGGTAACAAATATTGGAAAAACCTGTTCTAGATATTTGGGGAAGTTATCCAAATTTTGAGGAGGATGATCTTTCTGTTGCCCCTGAGGAGTCTGAGCCTTTGGTGGCCTTGCCTTTGTCAAGCCAAGGATGCTTCAGTTGTCCATACAGTGTTATCACTGAGCACAGAAACACTAGATGCACACTAGGGTTGTATTCTTAGGACCTATGGTCCTAATGCAGAGTCCTAGGGTATCCCCTCCACTCCAGAAAGGGCATCCCCCCTTTCTCTACCACTATGTCAGCAATGTCTCTTCTTCATGAAGATCAGGCTGATTATATTCTGCCACCATTGTAAATCTACTTGCCTTCGGAACCACTGATATGGAGATCCAAAAGTGACCAGGTGATTATTAAAACAAAACAAAACAAAAACAAAAGTGACCATTGGTACCTGTAGCTTCAGATTAAGTGGAACGCTCTCATGTCCAATGGTGGAAGAACTTATCTCTCCTTGGGAAACAGGGTTTCTTTCCAGCAAAGTCTCAAGTTGCAGCAACAAAGCAAAACTTCTGCAAGTAGCTCACTAAAAGCAATGATGAGAGGGGTCACTCCCTCTGTTCTTTGGTTCCTGGACTGTGCATTTCAGTTGATGGAGGTGGAGTGCCACACAATCACAATTGGTTCAATACATATTTTATGTCCTCCATAACAGCACCCAAACATCCCCAAACTGACACCCTCATTAAGTTTTTCAGGCCAGCTACTTCCAGGAGATACAGTCTATAGGAGGATCAGGGCATCCTGTGAGACCATGCTCATTGTCACACCTTTGTTGCCCTACGGTGAAACCATTAGGCGGAGGCCATCTGAGACTGAGTGCTATGTCAGGCACACATCAGTTCCACACCAGTGTCGACAGAGGCCCTGTAAGCTAGAAAGGCAAACCACACCCTCCTATAAGGATCATTTCCTCCTCCAGGTTAGAAGGGATCTGATATAATCAATTTGTGTGATCTTCTCAGGGAGAGAGTCATAGTGGACAAGTTAGGTGATCAGCAGAGGCAGTAGCTAGATCTGCCATGGTGAGTGGGAGTCTATGCTGTTGGGTTGGCGGAGAGCCTCCATCCCTGCCCCTATGACCGCTTCCTGCAGGGGCTCACTGTTCAAGCCCTGGAGTGGCCAAGGACAGAGGCTGCTGATATTCACCAGAGAAGCTAAAACTGTGCCCAATCTATGGTCTGCAAGAGCAGTTGGGTATGGTTAACTCTTTTGTTGTATATTTTTTGTTTTTTTGGTTTTTTTGCGGGGGTGTGTGTTTTTTTGGTTAACTATCTTTTGAACTTGCCTTCACAGAAGCAACAGAGTGTGATGCTCAGCTCTGAGTCATACAGCCTGCATGCACAAAAGTAACTGTGCATGCAGAGTCCATTAAACTTCCAGAACCAAGAGATCTCTGATACAGGACCACCCAACCACATTCAGAGGCAAGAGATCCATCCACCAAGAAGGTGTGGTCATTTGAAAAAGGCATCTTCTCATATTGGCTGATTTGTAAATATCTAATTGGATCGTTAAGCCAAGTCTACATTCCTTTGCCTTTAGCCCACTCCTTGCCTATAAATTTAATGCTTTTGTTCTTCCCCCGAATCAATGGGAAGACAGTTTTGCATTTTTTTCCTTCTGTCTTCTTGTCAGGTAACTCACATGTTTGATGAGGCTTTTGGATTTTGGAGACAGCTTATGCTACACTAAGAATACCATTCCAATCCATCTATTGGATGGAAGTCTAAATGAGGCCCAGAGAGAGGACTCTGCAGTAGGACCAAGCTGCAGTCATTTTGTTCTGCCCCTTGGCTACAGTCTTAGAGGTACCCATGGAGATAAGATCACTGAGTAGGGGGTTCTGAGGTAAAGAGGGAGAAAGTAGGGAAAAGAGACAAGGGAATATAAGGAATGGTGGCAGGGAAAAAATAAACAAAATTCCTTTTCCAAATATATCATATGAATCTAATAAAACTTGGGTAAAATTCAGAAGAGAAAGAGAAGAGGATTTGGCTGAACAGGGAGCTATGGAGGTCTGTGTTCAAAATGATAAAATAAAATTTAAATTAAATTAAATTAAATTAATGTTACCAGAGACGAAAAAGGGGAATCATGTTTGCTATTAAGAGTATGTAATAGTTTATGGTCCAGCCACTATGGAAAGCTGTGTGGAGGCTCCACAGACAACCAAAATGGATCTACCATATGATTCAGTGATTCCTCTCCTAGGAATCTACCCAAAGAACACAAAAACACTAATTCAAAAGGAAACCTGCCCGCCTACATTTATTGCAGCACTATTTACAATAGCTATGACATGGAAACAACCCAAATGCCCCCAAATAGACAAATGGATCAAAATTTGTTATATTTACACAATGGAATTTACTCAGCATTCAAAAAAAAAGACAAACTCATGCCATTTGCAGCAACATGGGTGGAGCTGGAAGTGATTATGCTAGCCAAAATAAATCAGAAGGAAAAAGAGAAATATCAGATGGTCGCACTTGCATGTGGGATATAGAGAAACCAAACAAAAGGTCAAAACTATCACGGGTGGTATGGTGGTGGGAGAACTGTGGAGACTATAATGATATAACCCCTGGTGGCACAAGGGGTTAAATCTCAGCTCTATGAAGCTATCCACAGCCACTGCAGCACTAGTTCAATCCCTGGCGAGGGAGGTGACCCACATGGTGCAGCAGACCTCTTCTGTTTGGCCGCTGCTCCCCTCAGCAGTGTATTTCAGTAGATCTGCCTGTTCTGCTCCCCAGTCTCCGTTGAATCCTTTCACCCCCCCAACACATCTGACCTGTACCCCAGTTCTTATATGCATACATAAATCTTTAAAAAAATAAAAAACAGTATGTATATCAAGCCTCAGTCTAAAAATTGTTTAGAAGACTATAGTTAAATGTCAGAGATATAAGGGTCTAAGCATTGAAATCTGGAGGGAAAAAAGACTTTCAGGGAAGCATTAATTCCTCAGCCCAAACAGATTGCCAACCTACAGATTCAGGAAGTAAATAGATGATTTTAGTTCCAAGCTACATTTTGGGTATGGCTGTCATGTAGCAAAAGTTGCACTGGCTATATAGCCTGGCAATATATAACAGGAGAGCCATCTGAACAGGGTGTGTTGGCTTAGGGATTATGAAATGGCATCTGAAGTCAAGGGAGTGATGAGCTGCCCTGGAAAGTCAGGGGGAGTGTTGCTGAGAACAGCTTGAGGCCTCTGAGCTCTACATCACTGCAGTAAGTTCAATGCTTCCTTTCTCAGAAAGTAGTAAGACCCTCTGCCCAGGCACCCGGGCCTGGAGATCTTTAGCTCGTGCTTTTCATGAGCCCTTCCTGCCAGCCTCACCTCTCTCCTTCAGGCAGCCTGCACGCCAGCAAAATAGAACTTCCTGAGGGCCCTAAAATGTGCTGTGCTCTCTTCTTACCACCATGCACTCTCTTCTATCCGGAATACCCTTCCCAGCCCCTTTGTATATTTAACTGCCCTTTCAATCTGTTGTTGCTCCTTGCTTACCTGACACCCCACCCTCCCAAAGTCAGTGTCCTCCTTCCATATTTTTCTATGCACAGACCCTCACGGCTCACATCACGGAGATGATTGCTTTCTCTCTGCCATCCTCTCACATCCTTCCCAGCTGACTGTGTGACACAGAAGAGCATGGATACCACCTTTTATGTCTACAAACATCTGGGTTCATGTATAATCAAGAATTTAGAAGAGAAAACTCAGAATAAATAAGTCCAAGTGGGGTCCATCTTGGAATGGGGCAAGTTCAGAATAGCCAGTCTAAGTAAATGACAAGTCTGATTATTTTGCTCTCTTCCTCCTGTAGGGTATGAGGCGGTCACCATTGATGAGCTGATGCAAAACTCATTCTCAAACTACTTTTCCCTTGTCCCCTTAACTAGGCTGTAAAACGGAAATCACTGTTTTCTCAGGTTCCCTTATAGTCAGGTGTGGCTAATGAGGTGAAGCTGAAGTCTGTAGAGGCTTCTGAGGAAGCTTTTGCTTTTCTGATCCAAAGGACATTTGCACTGGCCTCACCTCTTCCTCCCATTGTAACAGAGACATCTCCACGGAAAGGGGAGGCTCTGTGAGGTGGGGGGGCTAAGCGGCCAGGTGAGGCTGTTCAACACAGAGGCAGGTGGGCCCGGGAGGAGAACTCGAAAGAGACACAGGGAGAGGAGGAGGGGCACAGGAGGAGACTGTGAAGGCAAAGTGCTCACTTGCATCTCGGCTTTGGACTTGCACCAGGGTCTTGGGGGACTTGGAGGAGACGGGGCGGGGAGGGGGGGTTGAGACACATAGAGACACTTGAAAGAGACCCTTGGGTAAATTGATGATGGCAGCCATTGTATTTTACTTTAATTTTGCTCCTTTTGTCCCAAATGTGCCTGGTCCCTCTTGTCCCTGTCCTGAGGTTCCCCTCGATTTAGACTATGGCAAGTGTTTGGGCCTCAGTGGCCCTGCTTTGGACCAACCCTGTTTGGTTGGGCATTTACCCACGAGGAGGTGCGTCACTTTGGGTATTTCATGGGGAAACTATATCCTTTCTCTTTTTCCCTTTCTGTGCACAATCCTTCTATTAAAGCTCTTACATGCTCCGAGTATGCTTTGTCTTTATGCGGATGGTGAAACCCCTTCAGAGCGTACAGACTTGAAAGTCCCGGGTTGCCCCTCCGTTTGCCCGCTAACCATCTTCTTGCCTGGAGTCTGGATGTGAAGTCTAGCCCTTCATCAGCCACCTTGTGCGCGAGGCAACGAGCCAGACTGCTCAGCAGAGGGCCGCTGCGTCTGAGCCCATGGCGGCATCCTAGACGCGCCGCTCCAGACTCGGGCTTCCCGCCTGCAGGCCTCGCCCGGGACGAGATAGCTAGGTGACCTGCCCACGGACGACGCTGCTTGCCAGGTGTTCTGTCCCAGAGCAGAAAGCCTTCCTAAGACAAAAGACAGCAGCAGCAGTTACCTGCCGCAAGAGCCGGAGTCGAGGTCACCCAGGAAATCATGTTCAAGATAAACCTGTGAATTAACGAATCCGCAGGCTTGATTTTCTCAATTCAGCTGTTGGTTCTGTGGGGGAGACTTGGAAACAAGAGAAGTAGCCTCTGTTCTTAAAGTGTTTAGTCAAGTGGGAGGTGGTCTGTTGAAAGCCCACACTGAACAGCATGCTGTCGAGAGCTGGCTTTTCTGAAGCTCACAGGAGAGGAGCTCAGCAAAGGGGAAGTGGCTCCCAGGGGGAAGGTTTCTTGGAGGAAGAGGTGCATGGAGAGGGCCTCAGAAGATGAATGGGATTTGTGGTTCCTGATCATCCCATCCACGATCCCTGCCTGGAGAGATAAGTGAGATAAAGCAGGAAAACGGCTGGCAAATCCCCACCACACAGTAGAGGCTCATTAAGGATGTGTGTCCTTGGAGCCGCCACACACAGCGGTGTAGAAAAATGTTCTCTCTCTCAGATTCATGTATCCAACACATATTTATAGAGGCTTTACTGTGAAGGCGGAAATGCTGCAGGGGGCTGTGAGCACCACTGAGAGCACAACACGCACAGTACCTGACCTCAGAGAGCTTGCGTTCCCATGAGGGAGACAGATGACAAAGAAAAACTCAGGGCTGTCGGGGACAGGGTGACCAAGCTCAGCACTGGGCGAGTCAAAGCCCGCCTCCCCAGGTTGGCTACACACTGGGGCTCTGTTGCCCAGAGACTCAGGGGCAACCCAGCTTCTGGGAGGAGCAGGAAGGAGTGGCCAGGGAAGTCCCCGCACATGGCTACCCCTGTGTCTTTGCAGCCTGCAAACCTCTGCCATTCCTTTCTGCCCGCCCAGGCTTAGCACCCCACACGCTCACCCCCCCTTGCCACATCACACATAGCACAGCGTGTGCCACAACTTCTCTCTCTTGCCCGGGTTCTCTCTGTTGAGCAGTCTGCCCGGCCGACACACTGGCCACACCCTCCGCTCCGCTTCCAGGCCAGGGCACTGCTCTCTCTCTCTCCAAGTCCCTTGCTTCCTCTTCTGCCCGTCAGGCCTCCTCCTCCGCTAGGGCCCAAGGCATCGCAGAGAGGATCATCCCAAACTGGGACGCTCTGAAGAGGGCAAGGGGCCACTGCTCTCACTAATCATGTGAGACACGGGCAAACCAAGACGATAAATACTGATTATCTTTACTCTCCAGCTCTTGGCACAGGGGCCATCAAATAGCAAGCATTTACTAAATATTTTTTGAATGAGTAAATGGTAACAGCTGACATTCCTGCGACCGCACGGTTTACATGGTTTACAAAGAACTTTTGCCTGAAATTAGCATTTTTCTCCCCCAAATCTGGTCCTCTCCCAGCGATCCTTCTCCCAGCAGATGGCATCGACGTCTACCCCGCTGCACAAGCCAGAAGACCCAGAGTCACCGTCAACCCCTCTCTCTTCCCACGCGTCCCCAAGGCTCGCCCTCCGAGGTGCGCAGTTCTCCCTCCTCCAGTACCCGGGGCGTGGCACTGACCCGTTCTTACCTGGACGGTTTCAAGAGTTCCCCAACTTGTCTGCCCGTCGCAGGGACCCCTGTCTCTGCCTCTGACTAGGTCACTCGGCTGCTGAAAACCCCTTAATGTCCATTTCCTTTGGGATATTTGGGACAGAGCCCAAACACCCTAACAGAGCCTGGCTTCAGCCTGCCCTCTGCCTCAGCTGACACACAGCCTCTCTTCGCACCCCGCCCTCAACCTTCCTGGAGTCCTTCCTGCCAGGTGTGCTGACTCCTGCCTCGAGATCTTCGCACAGCTGTCCCCTCCCTTTGCCTCGTTAACTCCCACTCCGTGGCCAGGTCAGCTCCCCCATCAGAGACTCTTGTGACACCGGGTACTTTTCCTTGATGGCCCAGTTGGTGCAGGTGGTTTTAGATTTGCTTATCAGTTTAATGAGCGTCTGTCCTTTAACTAACCTGTATTCTTGGCATCTGGTTTTGTTGATTTCTCTGCAGCCTTTCCAACGCCTGGCACATACATTTTCAATAAATGTGTTTAATTAATTAATTTACTAATTAATTAACTAGATGATGAATCAATCAATTACAGGTGAAACTTAAATTAACTGATTAATTAACTGGATATTTAAGAGTGAAATCTTAATTGATTCATCAACTGGTTAATTAATTAACTAGGTTCATCTGAGCTCCCTCGGGGCTGGACTCTTGCCTTCCTGCTTTTGCACCACCAGCAGCCCCAGCAGCCAGCACTGGGCAGGCCTGGGCAAGTGTGGAATGGACACCCTGAGAGGCTAGCACCCCCCTGGTTGGCAGCGATGGGCGCACCGTCAGAGACCGCCTGTAAGGGAGTGAGGCAAGCTGTACCAGAAAGTGGATAGAGCTGAGGATGGAGGAAACCCTAGCCCTGTGCCTGACGGGGAAGGACAGTCTAGACCACAACCTGTACATGGCACTGAGGGGTTGTCCCAGCTGGAGGTCAGGGGCCAGGCTTTCGTGAGTGCGTCCCAGAGGCTCAGTGATTGGGCTGTCCTGCCAACTGGACCTGAGACACTAAATGATGGTCATCTCTGTCCCTCCTCCCCCCAATCTAGCTGTCTCCTGAGACCTGAGGGACGCTCCTCTGCCTCACCTAGCTTTCTCAGGCTGCTGTAACTAAGTTGCACAAACTGGGTGGCTGCAAACAACAGAAAAGTATTGTCTCACAGTTCTGAAGACCAGAAGTCTGGAATCATAGTGTTGGCAGGGCTGTGCTCTCTCTGAAGCTTCTAGAGAAGAATCTTTCCTACACTTTCTTCTCACTTCCAGGGGTTACTGGCATCTCTTGACATGTGGGGCTGGTGGCAGCGCGTTCTGATCTCTGCCTGTCTCCACATGGCCTTCTACTGGGTCTCTCTGTGTCCAGGTTGCCCTCTTCTTATAAGGCGCTCATCTTAATGCAAAGACCCTATTACCAAATAAGGCCGTATTCACAGGCAACAGAGCTTGGGACTTGGACATGCCTTGCGGGGGCACAATTGAATACAATAACCCAGAATGCCACTGCTGCCACTTTGTACTCTTTCGAAGCTGTGTTTCTGTGTCTCAGGCCAAAGCATTCTTCCCGGGATCTCCCTTCCGGCCCATCAGGGTTCGCCCCAAGGTGTTCCATGCTGCTCATTCCCTGAAGAAAACCTGTGGGCAGACAGTTGGCAGCTGTGAGAGGGGCCACAGGATCTCATGACTTTTCTCATTAATCCTCACAGCTACCTCAGGGAGGTTTATTATCATCCCCACTTCATGGACGAGGAAATTGAGATTCAGGGAAAGTAAGTGCCTTATACCAAGTCACACAGCAGGAAATGGCTTTGTGAGCAGAGACTGGATCCCTGTCTGCCCAACCCCCTGAACTCACTGAGCGCTTTCCAGGTGGAATATTTGCTGGCATTCAAGGGGCTCCTGGTAAATAGATTAAAAGGGTGTCAAGCAAAAAAAAAATGCTAAGAGAATAAGAAAGAACACAAAATGGATGGGGGCTGCATTTGGTCTCCAAGAGGACCCCGGAATAAGGGGTCACAGATCACATGAAGAAACATAAAAAGGATGCCGAGGGCAGTTTGGGGTGACACGTCTTTAGGGAGGACCTTTCCATTGATAAGGTTTTAAAATTGGTTTGATGATGATACCATATAAATTTAGGTCTTTTTCTCTGCAGCACTTTTATATGCCCCACTCATGGGGAATACTGTTTTGCCTCCTGGAGCCTGCTTGTGTTCTGGAAGACAGCTAGCTTGGATGTTCAGTCCTGGTCACACAAGCACGATTCTTCCATGAACATGATCTCAGATAGGAGGTCTGGCTGTTTGTCATGCAGGCCTTGTTACGCAGAGGAGACTATTTTCTTCAAGTGAATGAGGTGACTCTTGCATGTCCCCAATCACTACTGGGATACTCCTGGAGCCAGGCAGGCCAGCCCAGACTGCTCAGTGGATGCAGTCACTGGGGTTGGATTTATAATAACTAATATTTCATTTAAACATTCAATACATTTTTGCTGAATACCTATTCTGTCTGGGACTCTGTGTTGGGTACCAAGGATATAGAATAAGCCAGACTTTGTCCCCTCAGGAAGCTCAAATTTAATTTGGGGAGACAGCCACTTACAATCAATGGGATCAATGCTTCGAGAGAACTTTCAGTTGAGGTTCTTAGCTGTACATGCCATAATCCACACAGGTCTAAGTAGACGGAGTTGAAGGTCAGGGACAAGGCAGTCAGCCACAATGCCCAATACACCATGGAAATTTTCTAGTGAAAAACTCACCACCTGCCACCTTTGCTTGGCACCTATATGAGGGGCTAGATATTACGAACTCCTCCATGGGTGCCCCCAGAATGCCCTGACACCCCCATCACAGCTGCTTTCCAGTGATTTTATCTGAGTGCTGTCATCAGTGGCCTCATGTACTTCCTGATCCATATCTTATCATCAAGGACACCTTTTTTTAAAAAAAGATTTATTTATTTATGCATACAAGAGCTGGGGTATAGGACAGAGATGCAGAGGGTGAGAGGATTCACCAGAGACAGAGTTGGGAACAGAACAGACAGACTGACTGAAATACACTGCTGAGGGGAGCAGTGAGTGAGACAGGAGAGGTCTGCTGCAACATGTGCGTAGCTCTCTGGCTGGCCGGGGATTGAACTTGTGCTTCAGAGGCTGCGGATTGCTTCATAGTGTGGTGCTTAACCCCTTGCCCCACCAGGGAGGCCCAAGGACACCTCCTTGATGGAACCCAGGTCACACATAAAGCCCAAGCTGCAGTGGAAATGTCACTTTCATTTCCCAGCCTCTATAACACAGGTAGGCACTGTAGAAGGGAATGGGTAATTTGATGTTTGTATCTAGAATTCAGGAAAGATATATGGACCTGTGGACTGGTTCAGATCACAGAGTTTACCTGGGTGCTGACTGGAGAGAATAGTGATGCAGCTCAACCACAAGGGTACTTCCACTTTGGTGCCCTGTTAAAACTACAAATAACCTGGTAGAGCGAGAGACACATGTGTGAAGGCAGCTGCCTGATGCCTTTTCAATTCCTCGTACAGGTGCACTAGGACCTAATGGTCAAAGTAAAGAATAAGAAATCCACCGGGGAGAGGGGCCCTCCCTGGTGGTGCAGGGGTTGGGACACAACCTATGGAGCTGTCTGCAGCCACTGCAGCACGAGTTTGATCCCCGGCCGGATAGCTACCCACATGGCGCGGCAGACCTCTCCTGACTCGCCCACTGCTCCCCTCAGCAGTGTATATCAGTCAATCCACCTGTTCTGTTCCCCACTCTGTCTCTGGTGAATCCTCTCACATACCCCTCCACCTCTGGCCGTACCCCAGTTCTTGTATGAATAAATAAATAAATCTTTAAAAAAAAAAGAAAGAAAGAAATCCACCGGGCCAGGGAAAGCCTGGCTGTCCACTGGTTACTCTTTATTCTGTGGGGTTAGGACTCAATACTCCAGATCTACTTACTGTCATGAAGGGAATTTCTTCAATGGTAAATCTGATATCCTATTCTGATATGGAGACATTCTAGACAATGAAATGCTAAACTATTCTGCATTATAGTGTATTGACTGAAAGACAAAATAAACTAGAGAGACAGCACCAGCCACAAAATAGAGGGTGGAAAGCCCTGATTCTAGGTAAGGATGTCTGGTCAGGGACAGATCCTCAGTTCAGGAGCTAAAGAGAGAGACACCACTGGGTTCTTCTCTCCCAGGAAGGGGTGTGAGTTTAAACCCAACAAGAATCTAGTGGTTGATTTAAAATATTTCCCCAGGGCCTCCCTGGTGGTGCAGAGGGTGAACGCTGGGTTGCGAAGCTGCCCGCAGCCTCTGCAGCGCCGGTTCGATCCCCAGCTGCTCCCCGGCCACCGGAGGAGGGTCCCACATGGCACGCAGACCTCTCCTGCCGCCCGCTGCTCCCCTCAGCAGTGTACTTCGCTCCTTCTGCCTACTCTGCTCCCCGCTCTGGCTCTGGTGAATTCTCTCACCCTCCCGCGCTTCTGACTATACCCAGTGCTTGTATAAATAAATAAAAATAAATCTTTAAAATAAAATAAAATATTTCCCCATCTGCATCAATATTACTCTTGTTATCTCAGGATTACAAACATTTCATTAAATTTTATAGAACTTTCTTGCATGCTCTGGGAATATAAGAAACCCACTGATCTGTACTTGATGAAGACTGAAGATGAAAGGGAAAATCATTAGAGATTCCAGGCACACTATGAAACTCAAGCAGTATAAATACAATGAAAACCATACCTAAGCACAAGGCAATAAAAGTGCTGAAAATCAAAAACAAAGATAAAATCTTAAAAGCAGCTCAAGCAAGAGATGCATTACTTTTCAAAGGGGTAATAATAAGACTGATAGCTGACTTCTCATCAGAAACAGTGGAAATCAAAAGAGAATAGAATGTTATCTTGAAAATCTCAAAGAAAATACTTCCTAACCTAGAATTCAATAGCTCTAAAATTTTCTTTTAAGAATAAAGGAGAAACAAAGACATTTTCAAACTAATAAAAACAAGAGAATTCAGCAACAGCAGATCTGCACTAAAGGAAATATTAAAAGGGTGTTTTCAGGTAGAAAGGAATAGTCCTAAATGAAGTTTGACACCAACAATCGTGATAGATAAATAAGTATAGCCATACAATTGAATACTCAAAACATATACAAGAATGTTTATGGGAACATTGCTTGTAACAGTCAAAACAGTAACATCCAAATAGCTATCCTCATGCATACCTGGAGCACTATATTGCAATAAAACTTAATAAAATAGACTTACATTCCCATCCAAGACGGAGTAATAAAGACTAGATCTACCCTCCTGCCTGAAGCAACAAAAATGGCCAAAACCAGATGAAACAAAGGTTTTCAGGACTTTGGATATCAGGCAATGAATGAGGTCCTAGGAGGCAGGAAACACACGTGCCACCATTGCCCATATGCCTGGGGAGAGTTTCTGGGCCAAAGTGCAGGGAGGGGGAACCCAGATAGAGCCCCAAAGTCTCCCTGAGTTGCAGAAGTGAAATTGTGAGTCTGATGAAGCCTCTTTAGCTAGAACTTACAGGGCAGAATGCCGGGAATGAAAGTGTTGCCTTGTGAGGAATTCTGGAGAATTTCAGAGGTCTCCTTCAAAGATTCCATTGATTTTTGATCGCTGCTGCTCTGGAGTGCTGACTCTGCCACTTTCTACCAATCAGCATACCTGGTTTGAGCATCTATTATGCACCAAACTCTGAGTAAGGACATGAGTAGCACTGAGGCAGATCTGCTCCATCCTTATGGAGCTGCCAGTCTAAATGAAGAGAGAAACCACAGGCACCCATAGCTTCTAAGAGGCGCACACTGTCTGGGTAATGAGAGCCAGATGGATGGCTCAGAGGCAGAGGTGAAGTTAGCAGCTCTAACCCTCACCTTCCCTTCCCCTTCCCAGCTCCAGATGCATTGTGATGTGGGAGAAACAAACTAGCTCCCCCTGCTGTAGGAAGAGTCCTAGGTGGGGCCTGAGGTGGTGATGGGAAGAAGCAAAGATGGCAGCATCTGGGATGAGGGAGACCAGGAAAAGTTGCTGGTACCCATCCCTGCCCTGGTCTGGATCGTGTGTGATCTTAGAGCTCCCTGCCCCTTCCGGGCCTCGGTTTCTTCATCTAAACTCCTTTTGCTTAGAGGAGCTTAAAGGAACCTGAAGGAGGTTCCTGCCAGTTGAGCTTCTGGCCTGAGTTCCTTTTACCTATGAAGGGAACAAGAGTCCCTGCCCCCTTGGGAGAGATTCCCAGTTAAGAAATAGCCCATTTCCTCAACTGTTTCTTTCCCAAGAAGAGATGAAGAAGCCTCTGGCCATTTCTGTGGTGCCTCCCAGATCCTCACCTGTTGCTAGTCACAGGTACCCCCTTCCCACCCCACCTGGCCTCAGGGGCCTTTGGGCTGGGAATAGCATAGGTTTCAGGGTGGGGGATGGATTCACAGTTGAATTCTGGAGTTGAAATCCAACCTCCCCACCTCCTGGCTGAGTGGCCCCAGGAGGTCACATGACCTGTTTGAGCTTCCTCTTCCCTTTATGTAGGAGGGAGTTGCCTGTCATGGCTGAGATAAACACAGAAAAGAGCCAGAACAGGCCTA